CAATTTTCAACATCCTGTGGCGGGTAATTCCACGGTTGGATTTTGGCTGATCCGAAAATCGCAAATATCACGAAAGCCGAAACCTGGGCGACAATGGTAATCCAGAATGCGACTCTCCAACGCGCTATAGTATGCTACAGGAGGACATAAGTAAACGTAAAAAATTATATACAATAATCATAAACGTGATAATATAATAAAATAAATAAACAAAATATCGAACATTATTTTTATATCTATACTTTAAAATACGTGTATGTTGTGAAATTTAATCTGGATATTTTGAAATTACTTTGGCAATTACTTGGTAATGTTCTGAAATTACTTTGCAAATTACTTTACGATGAGAAGCAAATAATATAACGTTATAAATCTCATTCTCTATCTCTTAATGTTACAATAAAGTTAAGTTTGCAGTTGATTGTGCAATTAGGATTCAGTGTCTCCCGGAGAAAATGTCAACTTAACTTCCTTATCGGCTTAAAACCCCGTTCCACTTTCCGTAAAACTTGAGAAAAGTGGAATTCTTGCGCGCGGATAACTTATTAAAGATTCGAGAGAAATCGGCGATTTATGTCACGTTGTTCTTAGCAGACATTTCTCGAACGCGTTAACGCTATTCTATAACTGGCGTTCAGAATCTTCACTCACTCCTTCCGATACGAGGGCACCGACTATCGGCGGTAGGATAAAGGCAGAGATGGTGCCCGGGGTATTTGTAATACCCATGAGAATTCCTGCATAATTCGGGGCCAGGTCGTTCTGATTACAGAGGTGACCGACGAATATAGCACCGCAGACTACTATGCTCAATGTTAGCAGCACGGTCGATGTCAGGCGATCGCAGCCAATGTACGCGATTATAACTAGAAAAATGCTAGCCGGAACGGTGCCTAGAACAGAAAGAAACGTTTCGCATCATGTATTAAATTATATAACGAGCATTTTTATTACGTAAAATTAAACTAGTGATGTGAGCGTAAAATATGCCTTAATATATATGATATACTAATACAGAAATCAACACGATACAACGTGTTACTTGAAATGAATATTACACAAATGGATTTTAAACATTGTTATTAGAAATAGCGACAAAAGAATTATAATGTCACATGCGCTACATTGATATCACGGCCGGTTGAGCGAATTATGCAAAAAATTTGCAAACAATACCTCATTTTTATTTCATTAATATGTAAATTATATGTAAATTAATGTTCAAGTTTAAATTGTGTCATTACATCCGTTAATATGATTGCTGGTGCCAAAAATAAGAAAGAAAAGTTGTCTTTAACCGTGTCTTTAATTATAAGTAATCCATTTTAAAAAATAGTACAAAAGAGAAAATTTTTATATTTATTAAAAGATTAACTGTTTTATTTTTATAGACACTATAATATATTATTAAAAATTATAATAATTTTGATGAATATATATATTTGATGAAATATTATATATATATATATATATATAAAAAATTCTATTTTATAAGACCATATGCGATATCATATCTCAAAATCTTATTCATGTAAAGCGGCAACTGGGTGAGCAAGAAATACCAGCAAAAATTGCCTAGACAATTGGTGGCGATTAGTGCCAAAAATGGCACTGACGTGAATATACTTTTCCAAGGGACTTTCATTTTCATGGAACCGGGCGTACGATGACCGTACGAACCCACTATTAATGATCTCTCCTGCTCTGTTATGTACTTTTGCTCTTCAGGACAACCGGCGAAAAATATATAAAAAACGACACACCAAATCAATGGTAATATTCCGTGGATATAAAAGATAGCCTCCCAGCCCACGAAATTTAATATCATTCCCGAGGTAAGAATAGATATCACGGTGCCGAGCGACGTGCCGGCATATATGATACCGACCCACGTGCTCTTCTCTTCGTACACAACCCATGTTCCCAGAAGAACGTTCACTATAGGAAGATTCGCCGCGCTTACGAGACCGGTTAAAAATCTCACAGCGTATAGTAGGTACAGTTTGCTCGCGGTAATCGGTACCAATATCGTTAAAACCCCGTTTGCCAGCACGCAGAATAGCAATACAAACTTGGTGTTGAATCTATGCATCGAAAAAATAATATATTTATTAGGACTAAAGATATATTTCTCCTTTGAAAAAAAATATATATATATTTTATGTAAGAAATATATTAATTAACTTAAAATTATACATATTGTACAGATATTATGCAATATTATATTTATAATTGGAAAAATATAATCTCTCTTTCTCTCTCTCTCTCTTTAGTTCTCTCTATAGTTACTTACCGATCCGCCAAGTATCCCGACGGAAACATACCGACGAGATATCCAGCAAAATATATGCTAACGACCAGACCTTGCTCACTTGGCGTCCAATCGAATGGACCATCAATATCGGTGACGGTTTCTCCGGGAACTTCAAATTCTGGACACTCATCCGACCAATCTGGTACGCCAGGTTTTTTTTTCACCATGCCGATGATAGCCGTCGCGATATTTACTTTCAGACCGTAAATGATCATGTTCGCAATGCATAGCATTATAGCGAACAAATACCGTACGCGTATCTCTAAAATTATTATTGTAAGAGAATAGTGTTATTGTTGGAAGCGCAGATATTAACATGATTTAGTAATTTTATATTTAATCAATAGTATATTATATCTAATATAAAAGTCTTATGATTAATCAACATTAATCAAGTACTCGTTTTTGAGACAATTACTTTAAGAATATTAGTGACAATCAGTTCCTGAAAAGGAATCTTGCCATCTACTTTAAAATAACTCATATATTCATTTGTAAATTATAATATTAATATAAATAAATATATTAGCGTAGATTAACGATTTTGTGTATATTATATATTGCACAGACATAAATTGTATAGACACGATTATAAATTATTCTACTCATGCAATTACATAATGCGCAAGCGCGCGCAGATATTATTTTAATAAATTATTAGAAGCATTATTATGATAATGTAAAATAACACGTAGTAAAAACAGAACAGATAGTTCATCTGTTTAATCTGTATTAACCTAACAAATTATAATGTGCTAACGATCATAAAAAGAAAAAATAATACGCATGTGTGCGTGTACACAAAATATGAATTCATTCGCAGACTCGCAAATAATGAATTATTTCTTATAATAAGATATGCTAAAAATTAGTTTTCATATGTATAAATTTCTAAATTATTATATATTTATATTATAAATTTTTCGCAAAAATACACGCAGTATAAAATATTCAAATAAATATTCAAGGCAAATGATAATAAAGCAACGGGATTTTCGTTTATCGTGCAACAGAGTTAAATATAAATTTCTTTTATACCGCACATTCGAGATAGCACGCGCATAAGATAATAAAATCATTGCGTGCAAATTTACTCAGCTAGCAGAGAGTAATCAAACGGGGAATATTTCCTTACCCATCGTTTGGAATATTCAATAGGACCTTGGTTAATGAGTCGACAACATCGATGATCATCACGTTTCAAATCGTTACCAATGTCACTGTTTTCGTGTCGTTTGTTTTCGTATCGACACGATCACCAGTTCAGAATTTCACGCGATTTCACTCGTTCGCTCGCGCATTCAACAGCTCGATGACGACTATCAAAGTGTATCACTGACGAAGAGACGGCACCCATACACGATGATACCCAGATTCCTTCTCCACGAATATCTTTTTTAAACTTGTGTGCCGACGCGGAGTTGGATTCCTATCGACGCGAGATTATAAACAGCAAGAGAGAGAGAGAGAGAGAGAGGGAGAGAAAGAGAGAGAGAGAAAGAGAAGAGCGTACTACACTGATTCGCGGTCTTTAGTCCGATGCTTTACGATCTTACATACAATTCCTCTCGTAAATACGTTACGTCAACGATAACAGATGCATGCATATATTAAGGTTACAATGTTGCTACGCGGAAGAAAAAAGTTTTTTTTTTCAAACGGCGATGTAAAAGCGATATTTTATACAAAAGACAGATATTTCTGTGAACATGTCTTTCGTATTCCTTAGATAAGATATATAACAAACATCAGTTTGTTTTCAATGTCGCTTTCAACGCTTAAGCAATATCCAATATTTTTACTTTTAATGTTAGCTCTTTAAATATGTTTGTTTGCTGAATGCGAGATAAAGTTCTTATCCAAATCCAATAATCTCTGTAAAAACTGACAATATTCTTTATTAGATCTTGCAAAATGAAGTGTTACCGCAAAGTACAAAATTTTTTTATACCCTCTCACATCTTATCAACATGGTTATAATGCAATTCCAGTTTATAAAACTGATATCATGATGTTGGAGCTTATATTTAAAACATTTGCTCCATATCTACACGGTGTCTCAAAATTATTATCACTCGTTAAAATTATAAAACTGATTTTACCAACCGATATCTGTTGATTAAATATTTTCGCTAACGAGTCATCTTTAGATTAAAAGAATTCAGTGAATAAATCATGATAGTTTCAAAATACTCCGTATAAGTAATGTCGCAAAATGTAAACAGAATATAGCAGATAAGTGCACAATAATAGAGAAGTGCACAGTAATAAAGAAATGGTAAAAGACGGACAACGAGATAGAATACTTTGATGGCGCATGCACGACTGTTATCGAAACTAGTTATAACGGAACGTCTGAGTTGCTCTACAAAAGGGAGTTCGACACGAATTGACCGATGGTCACACAGTCACTGAACTAGATTATGGAAGCGGATGCGTTTTAACTTTCAGTAATTCGCACCGTGAGTGGCGATTCCATAATACGAACAAGATCGCCTTGTATTTGCCACGTCATTATATGGAAACGATTTGAGTGACGTCTTTTATCTGCTGTTTTGCATTTCAAATACCTTATATATTTCACAGAATTATTTAGTGCGATAATGCAATCATCAAAAAATTTCTCTCAATAAATAAATCTTATTAAACTTGTTGTTAAATATAAAAACTGTATGTATTATAATAAATATGATTAAATAATAATAATATAATAAAATAAAATAAAATAAAATAAATAACAAAAATCACAATAACTTGTAACTGTAATGTGTATACATAATAAATGTAATTGATATATAATTAATAGGAATTAATATTAAATAAAATAATAAACAATTTATTTAAAATAACAGCAGTTTGACATACTTGCAGTTGTATAACTAGTTTATTTTCAAGGTGATCTCGCTCACGTTTTCATTTTTATTATTTTTTTTTTTTTTATTGGAAATGGAATTCCGACGAAACAGCACAGTCACAACACCAATCATGCTTTTCCAAAACCGGTCTTGGCAACAGTCTGTGAATTCACACGCCGTTATTCGCACGATAATTAAAGCCGAGTGTCCTTCTATTTTGATTACACAAATGTCGACGATGTTTCGTCTCCGCTACCAATTTGACGGCAAGGTCTTACTCGCGTGATATCCAACGTGGATGTTCCGCCCGTTATCTCGATGAGTAGCCGGGTACCGAGGCTCAAGTCCCTTTCTCTCACTGCGACACAGTGGCACACACGATATACGGTACATTCTTAACAGATATCCGTCGACGAGACGCGGCGCTTGATGTTTACGGGCTGAGGATAATGGGGTCTCCCCAGTGAGCCCATGTCCAGACTGATGAGAAACGTTCCAGAGTGCATTCTGGAACGACCTCCCGCCGATCACGACAACAGTCTACGGATATCTAGACACATCCGTGTCACAACGCCCACCGAATTATATTCAACACGCACGCGTTATCCTTTTCCGTTAACCGATTCAAGATAAACTAGGTAGATTGCGATATAATAGCTGCACGATTATCTTCCTGTTTATTGTGCATCGTGCATCACACGTCGTTAAAGAGAGATGAATGAGTGTACCTTTCTCATATAAATCTATTTTATTTTGACAGCTATACAATTTATACGATTTTTTACATACAATAGCGAATATAGAATTCATACAAAAATTTGTATAAAAATTAATATGGATATTTCCAGAATATTGTAAACATGTTTATGCTTTTTGCTGTAAACATGTCAAAAATAGTACATGTATTGTACCTCGCTGCATTCTTATTATGTCTATATTTGTAGAAGATAATCGGCCAAATGCATCCACCGTGAAAAATAAGTCTTACATAATAATAAGATGTAATAAAGAGAGAGAGAGAGAGAGAGAAGAAAAAGAAGAGGAAGATTAAGAAATAATATTTATATAATCTCTTCTAGCTCTTATTAAAGATGATTTTTATTCTAAAAGAGAGAGTATTATACAATGTGGAATATCAATATCATTCTACTCATATCAATTTCGCAAATTAGTGCATAATTATCGCACATGCATATAATGAGAATAATGTATCTATTTATTTATTTAATATAGATGACATAAACATTAATATATATTATTTATATCAACACCCGATGTTACAATACATCTGTGCCACTTCATTTTTTATTAATGAAAAATGGGGTTAATTTATATAATATTTTATATTTGAAGAATAATTTTTTTTTTTAAATTTCAAGATACGCAAATAGAACAATTCGCATTCAAATCTGAACGAGTATTTCAAGATAAAGAGTCTATGTGAATCAATCTATGATGTATCGCGATAATTTGAATTTTATGTAACATGCTTATTAGTTAGCGAGTTTTACGTAAAACAGTTTATATTCGATGCGCATAACACTTTGATCGCTTGATTCTCGCGCGGTAGATTTTCAAATAATACGTAACAATCTTTCATTCAGCAGCAACAGAAAAGTTTTTAACGTAACGTCACCGCGTGATGTCGTATATCTCGTGCTTTCTTCTCGCGATGCAAAACCGCACACACGTTTCCGCATCGTTCGCCGGCTGATGGGCAACGGTGGACACAAAACGGTGGACAATATAACGACGCTACCGACCATCGCAATATTTTTACCAGACCGCGGTCTCTTTCGTGCGGTAAACATGCGACAAGCGTGACGAAACGTTCGTAGAAACGAGAAGCGCACGAAACGGAAGTGGTTGCAGAGTCTCGTGACGACGAGGCCGACGACAACGACGGTGAAGCTTGGAGACGCACGAGTTGCCATCATCTTCGCGTCTCTTCTGGGCTTATTCGGCCCAGCGCACACCTGCATTCGTGCCCGGGGTGAATGCTCGCGCTGCGTACCTGCTAGAGGAATATGGCAGGTCGAGAGAAGGATGCCGGCGAATCCACTCGAGAAAACGCGAAGCTTCGCGCACACCGATAAAAATGGATACGTCGCGGCATCCGAGACAAGTGGAGAGAGAAAAAGAGAGGAAAAATATGGCAGGAGAAAAAAACCGGAAAGTGCACTCGAAACGGAGAGAGAAACGTCGGCCGGGGAGAACGACACTTTGCGTCGATTAAAGAGACACGAAGGACTCTCTCGGGATGCAACGGGACAATAGCGTCGATCGCACGGTGGTCGGTTAGTTTGTGAAAATCTCGGAGCGGAATTGTGGACCGCGCGCGAAGGATTCGGGGGCACTTCAACTGGTTTGTATTGTCCAGGCGTTTCGGGCCTGCTGACTTTGTCCGCAGTGTAAACACACAGCTCTCGAACCGCCCGTCTACTTCCAGACCCGTCCGAGACTCGTATTCCGGCCGAATACCAATTAGCTATTGCTGCTGCAGGTTGAAGCAGATTGACTAACGAGCGAGATGCTCCTAACGTTCTTTAATTTTCTTCCGTTACTCGGACCACCTACTACGAAAGGATGTTAAATTGACGTAAAACAGGGCGCTATGTTATATTAGTTTTAATTGATCTATAACTCATTATGCATTATTTGTTACATTAGATAGTTCTAGAGTTAAAGAGCAATTGAAATTTTATTTGTCAATTCGTAAAATAAAATATGAAATTATATGGTAATAAAATTAGATTGGCATCCATCACTTATTAATCAAATATTTTAATTTTTAATATAATTCTTATTAAGCAGATACGGATATTTAACTGGCTATTTTTATTCCTCGTTATAAAGCGTTAAATAATAAAAAAAATAGCATTAAAGTAATTCAGAAAAGTGCATAAGAATTTTTTTTCATATGTCAATTATATGTTTCGAAATCGATTTAAAAATTTTGTTTCTGAGGAAATCGCTTCAAACAAAGTCCCCTATAGATATCCAAGAAAACGATTAATTTGCAGATCAGAGGAAACGATCGTCAAACAACGATGCAACGCGTGCACTTGAAAGAAGAAGCGAGACAGATCGAAGGCAATGTATCATTTCGCGCGCGCGCTATCTTTCGTGAAGTCTCCGCGCGCGTTTTCCGCATCGTATTCAAACGAAACGGACAGAGTGTCTACATCCCGCTCAAACGAAAAAGCGCACGCGTGGCATACATTTTACTTTGCGAGATAAAAAAAAAAGGAAGAAGAAAAAAAGATCGGAAATACACATACGGGAGAGACGAAGAGATGATATATGCGGACATTAGTTGTACACGAGATGTATGAGGTTTCGCGTGGCGTCACTCTGCCACTGTCAGATTCCGGCCGCGGGTGCTCTCTCTCTCCTCCCGGCATAATCGGAACGACCCATATTTCCCCGCCGCAATGCGTCAAGCCGTGCCGTCGTGCGATTCCCCTCCGCGTGTGCTTTCGTACCTTCATTTTTCACTCAACCGCTCTCTCTCTCTCTCTCTCTCTCTTTCTCTCTCATGATCTCACCCGCGCCCAAATTCACCTTTCGTGTCGTCGCCGCCGCCGCCGCCGCCGCGAGAATGTCTACCGCGTTTTCGTTCTCTTCTCTCCTTCTCTGAGCCGGCACGACTCACCGACGTCGCGACGATTGTACATCTCGCTTCCGGTAAAATTCTCCGTAGAATACGGGAGCCCCTTTCTATCCCATCCCCTCTCCTCTCTCCCTCTTCCTCCGATCGAGAGACGAATCGATTCGCGAAAATGCCGCCGGCGTAGCGAACGACAGTCAAAGCGTTGTAGCAAATATTGGCCGAGCATTTTCTATCTATTTTGACACTACGAGCGTACCTACTTTGATAAGTGAGCCGATACGGGAAGTAGTAAAGCAGAAATTTACGGTCACTCGCCGAGTTTTCTCTACGGAAAGGGAAAAATAGAAACTAAATTCGGATAAAAAAATAAAAATAAATAATATAAGAAATACATATTTTCAACAATTATGTAAAAACTAAAAAATTATCTTTCTTATTGAATTGTGAGTTTGTCTCTCATTTTTTAGTTTTAAGTCTTCTAATGCATTTCTCTTAATATATGTATGTATTTAAATTTTTAGGATACCGATTTTTTATTAAATGAGTTGCGATTGTACAGTATCTCGTGGCGGCATTGTTTGACGCATCAGTATGAATGTATGTAGATATTATAACCAGAGCTGTTGGAAAACCTTTCTTGTAGAAGAATATTGGATTATACCGGAGGCACAGAGAGAGAGAGAGAGAGAGAGAGAGAGAGGAGGGCAGACAGAGCTATCCTGATGAAGACCGTCGATATCGATTTTTCGTTAGAGAATGAAAAATGCAGCCGCGTTGCTTCGTAAAATATGTGCACTTTATCTTACGTGCTAGGAAATGTATGCGTCACGACATTACGCAGACGATGGTGCTATTGAATGGCCATAAAACGTTTGTTTGTTCGGCGAGTTTACACAGCTTTCACAGTTCAACGGCAGCCGTCGGTCGACCGACTGTCACTGAATGAAATGCTAACGATGATGGACGACCGCGCGAGGATCTCTTTCTTCCGTTTGATCTGTAGGGAGAAAAGGGACGTCAGTAATTTGTACGCAGTAGCTGAGTTATCGAAAAGTTGCACGTTTAAAA